GAAATGTGGAGGAGAATACTCCTCTCATATGGTTCTGAGCAGAGCCGACATCTAGAAGTGAGCTTTTGTTGTACAGTAGGCATACATAGGACGCGCGTCACAGTGAACCGCANNNTCTGACAACACTTCAACGTTGGGACTTATGGAAATGTGGTCCGGAACATTTGGACCCCACAGCATAATAATATAATCCAGCTGATGAAACCTACAAACACTGAGGCGGAGATGATTGTTTAGTCGACTCCTGTGCACTTTTGAGATTCATATCAAAGCACTTAGAGGCACACTTGATGAAACGCCAAACAGTTCTGTAGACAAACTGTCTGTCTGTGTTAGTTTAATTGGTTGTTTAGGGGGAATTTGAACCAAATTCCAGTTGGAATTTATCTAAATTGAATTGTGGCCGGGCCACAGAGGGCGGAGCAGCAGTGGCGGTGATGGCTGAGGCAAAGGCGAGAGGGAGTGAGGGAGGGAGGCAGAGAGAAGAGGAAAATGGTTTGGCTTTAGAGCACTGCAACAAGCTGGAACAGGAAGTTATTCAAAGTGAAAGACACACACCCTGAACAAAACAGCTACACACATACACACAAATATGAGTGCTCATGTGAATACAGGCCAAAATGCTGAAGAGAGAGGGTCAACTTGGAATGCATCCTCCCCCCTGTGCGAGTCATTTGATGGGCCTACAGTAGAATTCCCAAGGCCATTAAGAAACAGAGGTTTTGTTGTGAGGCCCAAAGATTAGACAAGGAAGAGATGACAGCAGCTGCTCAGTGACAGCCGTAGATAGTCCGTAGGAGAGGTAAATGAATAAAGGAGTGAGGGGGCATATGGATGAGGACAAAATGAATGACCCCTGTAAAAAAACTTATTTTAAAGGAATCTCTCATGGGCTTTCTGCAGGGAAAGAACGTTTACACCACACACCTATTATACTTGTTTCAAAAGTCAAAATATTTTTACTTTTTACTCAGGAGTACCCATGTTAAAAATATTTGCCACCTTGACCTGCAAAGTAAACAGAAAACTGCTGAATTTAAAAAATGAATCTCATATTATTTCTTCCTCTTTTTAATCTTCACAAAATTCTAAATTTATGTGTGTTATATGCCTCTCTATCCATTCTCCAACTCTAAGCAACAGTGTAAGGTCAAAGGCTTTTTAATTTTGATTAAAAACTATAGCCTCCGTATATATACACACACATCACATTTATCTATAATGCTAGCTTGCTAGGGTCCATGTGTTGGAAAATATTTACTCTGCAAAAAAAAAGAAAAGAAGTGGAAAATATTTACTCTGCAAAAAAAAAAAGGAAAGAATAGAGATGAAGACATGAGTCATGTGGTAAAAGGGCAGAGAGACGGGGCAGAGAGCACCAAGAGCGAGGGATGAGGTCAAAATTTAGGTTTCTCATGTAAACAAACTGCACAGCCCTCAGGCACTTCTTGGTTTGTGTGTCTGCCCTAATTTTTCTCTCACTTTACTTAGTCCTTCAAGAAGCAAGCCATCTTTTGGGATGTGGGCCAGTGGTCACATTTCCCAGTAGAGCACCACAGTCACTGTGTATAACCCCTGTGCTCCCTCTCTTAAAATCTGACCGTGCAACAAGTGGTTCAGTAGCTAACACTTACTGTTGTTTATCATGGCTATAATCACTATAAGGAATAAATTGTACGTACCTCCCCAACGGGGAAAACAACTACTTAAATTTGTGTGCACAAATAAGGTATTTCTTAGACAGCAGCGCCTATTCTGGCCTGTTTATTTCTTGATATTATACACTGACATCAAAAAGAACATGAATGACAACAAAAACATGAATTGACCCTGGAAAAAAGATGCTTTAATGTCTGTTGCTTTAAAACTTTAAAATTTACTTTGGGTATCATTTAAATGATCACATTTTGTATTTCAATTTGATGATGTTATTTAGGAAATTGGAAATAAATTGTGATGATTTCCAAAAGCTAAAGAAAAAAAACTAAGTCTGCTGTGCTTCTGAAGTGACTAAGGACTATGGAATATCTGAGCGAGAATACAAGTGTTACTCATGCTGTTTTGGTAAAAATCAAGCAGTACAGTGAGACGTAGTGGATGTGTCGCTACTGTTGCAGAGTAAATTCATGTTTAAAAACATTTGTTTTTACTGATTAAACATTTTTTATAATATGATAATAATTTATGACTTTTTTGGAGGGGGGGTGTATTTTCCTTTCTCAGCCAGTGACCTATTTAATGTAATCATGTTTTCCTTTGGCCACACTGGAACCAAGGTTTACAAATGAAAACAGTTTGGTTCCCTAAACGTTGCACTAAAGGATCCTGATGATTATTTTTACTACTTTAAGTGTGAGACTCGCGAGTCATGCAGATTTAAAGCAAATAAAATGGGATAAAACTGGACTACATACTGCGGAGCAACGTTGTGGTTTTTAGCTTAAGGAGGATCATGGGTCACTGCTATAGATAATACCTGTATTAGCCCAACCTACTTAATGATTAACAATGAATATTATGGCCATAAAAATTCTCACAGGATGTTTTTTTATCCAATCCCATTACTCCCAGTGTTCCTCATTCTTCTAACCCCCAACAAAGCATGTGAGATGTGGAACTGAACAGGGTGAAAAGTGGGGAAGCAACACTTCCATAGATAAGCATGTGTAAGTTTTGTAGTGTTCACAACCAAATCTGCAGATAAAGCATTTTCTGGGAATTCCCTTTGAGACAATGATACAGCAGAAGAACAGTCAGATTAAGTGTACGCGTGAGACGGACAAGGAAAGAAAGGAAATCAAAAGGACAAGGCAGTCACTGTTTGCGTGACAAGACCCTTCTTCACAGGCATGACCAACACCCGTAGTGCACACATGCACACACACATCTCGCATCATTATTATGTTGTGTTAGCCTTTCTGTTTGACCAGTTGTTTACTTTTAACCAATTAAGTTGTCATTCCGTCAGGCAATCAGAAGCTGTGTTTACATGTGACTCTGACGGAATTGGGCAGCATCCCTGGAAAAACTGGACACACACAAACCAAATTAACACATTACTGTTAATATGAAAAAGCAGTTCCTGCTACAGTTTACTTTGAAGTAATGAAGTTGTTGACTGTGGTGTAAATTAAAATCTTCCACGCTCTTAAAATGTTTACTTTGGCCTGTTGCTGCCCCCAGAAATCCTGTAACAACTCAATATAGTGCAAGTAAATTTTAAAAAAAATCTTCCTTTTTGGAAATACAATTCATCATCAAAAAGGATGTGGGAACCACAGCTTTAGAGAAACCAAAACATACATTATCTGCCAGGACATGACAGACTACACAATGCTCTCCCACCCAAACAGTTATCGCAGAAAACATGATAGTGCTTCAAGGAGGAACAGCAGAATCCTGGGAGGCTACACAACACCTGGCAAAAAGACTAAACAGACTCGATAGCGCTCTCTTCAGCCACATCTCACAGCAGACACTAAATTGCTCCACTTTTGCACATGCAGAGAAACCTCTGCTTCCACTGGTAAAATCCAACATTAACAACACTTGGTGTTGATTACATTTGAAGAGGTCGACAGGGATCCCAGACATGGCCTTGATTGTCATACAAACTGCATGGGAGGAATCCCTTGGTTTCAGTCAAGCAAAAGTTGGATCTAAGACATATATAGTCTGATATCCAGATAGTCTGGCATCACGGAAAACTAGGCTGCACTGGGCTTACTTTGAAACAGAGCATGATATTTGGCATTCTTTAACATACAGTACATACACATCTGTGTGATTCAAACCTACAATGGTCCAAACGTATCAATTCATGCCTCTTAGGCCAGACTATCACAATAAATATTATATTGACTGATGTACGATGACTATTACTTCTTTCAGTATCCTTTAAATCCCACAAAGGAATTATACACTGTGGGAATACTGCTTTTAATATAAGCCAACAAAATTAAGTGAGTCCTACAGTGCATTTGTAATTGTATCATTCATCACAGTGTTTGCTATTGTGAAAGGCCAAGTCAGGGCTTGGAAGTGGGCTTTATTAAAAACCCACACACACATTTCACATTAGTTTATTAGGTAAATATTAAGCAGGTGTTTCCAAATAGAAGACACAGGCTGCCCACAGTGATTCTTAGCCACAGAGTTAATCATTAACGGACGTTCAGACACATGGACACACACCTGGTTGTTCTCTGCTGAAAACTGCTGAACACACACGCAGAAAACAAGTGCTAGTACACTACAGTGATAAGCCAGTGCACAGTAGGGTTTGCTGCAGCTTTAAATGGAACAGATGAAGAGAAACTAAAGAGAAAATATGCTCTATTAGAATACATTTTAATGGTGGGGTTTTATATGAAAATCCAGGTTTGTGCTCAGCGGCCTAGGTGACCTTTACGGATTTCCAGTCTGACAGGTGTTTTCTCCTGTAATCCTGAGGTGTAACCGAACAGAGAGTCATGACTGCAGGGCCACAGAGAGTAGGAAATAAAGTAAGAAATAAAGAAAGGCACGAGGAAAGAGGAGAAAAGGGGAGAGAGTGGTGTAAAGAAGGAAACTAAAACCCGAGCCTGGAGAGAACCGGCCTGACAAGAACTCAACACAACAACAACACAACACACACATTCAAAAGCACTGCAGCCTGTTGGCAACGGTGGGGGAATTTTACTGGAGTATCTGATTTACACAAAACACACACTCGCATTTCTCCGTGTTAGTATAGTGGACTACTTTGTTCAACCACATGAGTGAGTGCACACACACACCTGCGCACAGCACATGCTCATTAATGGTACATTACACACACGGGGCCTAAAAACTGTCAAAAACAGTCATTTGTCGTTGAAGTCAAACAGCACGTTTCCCAGGAACACTGATAGACTACGACACGACTCTGGTTCACTTGAATTAACAGTTGCAAAACAACACAGCATTACGACAGTATTGTCGTGACAGGAGACAAGTTTTTGAACATTCTTCTCTCTCACCTCGTCCCACTTGATGAATTTCCCTCCCTTCTTCAGGGCTTCGTGGACGCTAACAGGTTTGAGCTGTAACGCGTGGACCCCCGGCTTGGCCCCGGCCATGGCGAGGGACTGCCTGCCCGGGTGCCAACGCCTAAACCCGGCTGCGTGGAGCTGCTCTGCTCTGCTCTGCTCTGCTCGGAAGGAACAAAACCCGGCGTCCTTCACTTCCACTCCGGAGCTTCTTTCTTGCTCTCCTTCTTTTCCGGGGAGACGGTGCTCAGAGAGGCCGGGCGGAGGGGAAGTTCTTTTCTGCAGACACTGACTTTTAAAAAGAAAAAAAAAAGTTAACACAGCTTCAGCAAGAGAGGGGACGATCATGAGGAGTGAAATCCAGACAGGACTCACCAGTTTCTGTGCGCACCGCCGCTATCTTGTCCGCGTCCACGCACCGCGGTGACGCGCCTGTAATTCGCCTTTTATTATAAGGTTGGATTCATATGTTTGTTTATTTGCGAGGTATCCTCAAATCGCGCACTTGAGCGACTCCTTTCTTCCTCACTTCCTCCCATCTGACCGACCCCTCTCCTTTTCTTCAACTCTGCCAACTTTCTCTCTCTTGTCTTCTCCGACTGGAGCGTTTCTTCTTCTTTTCGTCTTCTTTTCTCTCTCTTGTCTTCTCCGACTGGACCGTTTCTTCTTCGTTTCTCCTCCTCCTCCTCTTCTCCTCCCTACATGTTTTCTGAGGGGAAAAAGAAGATTCCAAATGGAGAGAGAGAGAGAGCATCTGACTGAGTGAATGAGTAATGAGAGAGGGGGTGTGTTTGAATTCAGTCTGCTTCAATTTATTCCGTCTGCTTGACAAGCTGCTCAAATGGTCAAACTTCACCTCTTTGTTGTGTGGTTTTGCTTTCAAAAAATTACCATTTATTTATCTCCCTTTTTTTCTAAATGTCCACATTAATCAGTCCCTGTATCTCACCCAACTTTTAGACAAGCTCACATCAAAGGTGGCTGCCAAGTATAACACCAAAAAAGTATCAGTTTAAGTTTGTGGTCCTGAATTTTAGAATTAGATATGGTCCACTCTGAGTGTGTTTTAAGGTAAAACAGAAGTCAAACACAATACCTAAGTTGACAGGAAGTGAAAGCTCTCTTTAATCATTATTAGGAGGAAATATTTCTATCGCTGCCTTTCACCAGTTGAGTTACCAGAAACAATAACATTAAAAAAACGTTGTCACCGATCTGACCATTTTATTGCTGTGCCACTGCGAACCAACCTAAACCAGGAGGAAGACTGCATCATGGTGCATTTACAGCATTGTAATGCTGTAAATGTGCACTGGTGTGGCTGTGGTACGTTTACTTAAAAAAGTAGGTCTAAGTCTGCCTTTTAAAAACGCCATTTCAACTAAATGCTATCCACCAAACCAAAAATTAAATGCTACCCAAAATGTGTGTGAGCGGCAGATTGCAGAAAGCAAAGATAAAGATACAACTAGAAGCTGTTAAAAGGAACATGAACCCAACATTGTTTAGAAAACACCATAAAAATGAATCACGGACCTGATGTCACTGATTATAAATGTGTTGAAGCAGATGTGGATGATGATCATTTTAGCCTGGTAATAACTAAGACACTGTTAGAGTGAGTGGAGCAGGATTTATACAAGAACACCAATCAATACTTATATCATTTTCTGCATTTGTGTCACCCAAATGAAGCCAACTATGACTTTGTGAACACACCTTAAAAGTCGGTATCTCACTGGTGCCAAATAAAACAGGATGTGTGGCCCATCACTGGGCCAGATTATTTTGCCTCGTGGGTTGTATTTTAAGATCCTGAATGCATCCTACAATTCTTTTTTGCAATTTGAAAATGTTGGTTTTTTTATGGCATTTAAACATTACAATTGAATATATCTTAACACATCATGTTGATCCAAAACAAAAGTATGACTACACTGACCTTGATGAGCAAAATCGGCCTCTTTAATAAGCACTTGGCTGTAAGAGTCTCATGCAGGGCCAGTATGAAACTGGAGTGTTTTTGGAGCAGTCACAGAACTGTCATGAACCAAAATCCAGTGCTTCATAAAACCATAGGAAAACGGTGTGCTGCTGGCACAGCATCAGAGTGCTGGGAAATCAAACAGTGTGCAAGCTGATTAAAGGCGTCATAAAGAGGCTGACTGACAGATTTTCCAGTCTTTTTCTTCTCTCAGATAATTAACTTGCTTTGCTTCATAATTAACCAGATATTAATCATCTGGTTAATCTCTTTGCAATTAAATGTCAATAAAAGTCGCTAACCTCTGAACCAAGGCGTAATCTCTTTTATATCACAGGAGTAAGTAAATTCCTGTCGCCTGATGCTGGAAATTAATCCTGTTGTAAATGATTTTGCTCAGTGGTGACAGTGACAGATTACACCTGCTGTCAATGATGTTATTTAAATACATGAGCGGCCATCGCAGTTATTGGAAACCGCATAAACAGCTCACAACTGCCAGTGTGCGTGCTACACGGACACTCGGACAAAGAGACGTGTATCCAGAATGATGGCATTGAAACTGCAACAGGAAAAAGTCTGCCGGGTTCTCAGGAAGTCGCCTTGAAGAAGTCATCAGGTAATTTTCCTCTGTGTCACAGGCAACATGTGTTTTGAGAGGCCAGTGAGCAAAGGAGACTGTGCAATTACAGTCCAGTCCTGTCCAAATACTTCTGCCAAACAATATTACATGTTGGATTTCTCAAAAGGAAAGAAAAAAAGAAAAACTATGGAGCAACAGATTTTTTTGGCA